TGCCAACAATATATATACTCATTCCGATAATATATGCTATTTTTACATTTTCAATTACTCCCTTCATTTCATTATATTTTTTGTTTTACAGTAAAATATTATTTTAGACTTTGAAGGAAACATCTAATGACATTTTTCTTGTTTTACCTTTAAAGAAATATTCTGCCACTTCCTACGTGGTTTTAGAGACATTAAAGTACTGAAATAAATGTGTTATATAAAAAATACTGAAATAAATGAGGAGCAAATTTGATAAAGTATACCTTATTTTTATATGTTTATTATATTTCTTAATCTGTGTGAAATAACATTAAACAGAGTGAGTACTTGATAATCCATATTATAAGCTGAAATTTGATTGTAGTATCCAAATAGTAATAGTTTTGCTAATGACTTTTTACATATTCAATGCCTTCACCCATGTATGCTCATTTTTATATTTTCTTATGATTTAACCCCCCTACCTACCAGATTCTCATGACCTGATTTGAAAAACATGGCTTTTGCCTCATAAGCTCATTCTTTTGGTTTCCCTAGTAAAATAAATCTCAAATTTATTCAAACTTTTTGTTATATGCATTTTTTATTGGGTTAATATGTAATTTTACTCTTAAACTATTCTCGAAGGAATAATATTGCCCCTAAATTATTCATTATAGTAATATTACCTCTAAACTAATCAAATCGAATTAATGTTTCCTCCACTATTTAAACATCTGTTACTATAACTAGTGAGACTTATTTCTTCATGAGTTAAGGTGCAATTTTATTCCTAAACTATTCTTAAAGAAACATTGTTGCATTTACTATTTAAAAATTATAAAATTAAATAAAAATTATAATAATATTAAATGTATATATAAAATAAATATAAGAAAAAATTTATAGTATGCTAATAAAATGTCATAAATTAATAATATTATAAATTATAATTTTATAACTTATCAAATATAAGTGGATCTTTAGGCTAAAAAAACAAACATAAGTGGATCTTGATTAAATTACATATGAGTAGACTCAAAAATATTTACATTTACACTTATAACTATTGACTGGAACTATCGTTGACAACTCAATTTTGACCAAAAGACTATTTTTATGATTGAGCTAAATTGGATAAGAGTTAAGCTATTATTAAGTTAAAAATTAAAATTAAATTGAAAACCGAAGTGATTTTTAAAAAATCGGACGGTTTTAAACATAATATTACAAAAAAGTTAAAAAATTTAAAAAATAGAAAAATTTAAAAATCAGATCCCACTAAAAGCCAACTTTATTTTTAAATAATTTTCATATATAAGATACAATTTGAGACTATTTTTTTATAAAGATGTTGATAGTTATAGGTGTAAATATAGATACTTTAACTCTGCTTATATTTAATTTAACCAAAATTTATTTATATTTGATAATTTATAAAATTATAATGTATATTTTTTCTTATATTTATTTTATATATACATTTAATATTATTTTTATTTAATATTATTATAATTTTATTTTTATATATATTTAATATTATTTTATTTAATTTTATTATAATTTTATTTTTATTTAATTTTATAATTTTTAAACGATAAGAACAATATTATTATAATAAATAATTTAAAGATAACATTACTTATTTAAAAATAGTTTTAAAAAAAATTATATCTTAATCCTTCTTTATTTGTCATCACTTGGCTTTTATCCACCAATTCTCAGTCTGACAAAACAAAAAGTCTCGATGCCTCGTTTGTTTAATATCATAACATCAAAAACTGAACAAGTGTGAGCATTTTCATCCGTAAATCAATATACAAGCTGAGCAGCGTTTACAAGTTATTTTCCCCCCATTAATTTTAGTTTATGAAAAATGGTATATTAAATTTATGAATGATTTTTTTTTCTTTACTCTAGCAACCATTATCCTAAAAAAGCTGGGTATCATTTTCTTTTATCCAAACTGGTCTAAACTATTATTGTGTGGGATTGCTATTACTCACGGTGGCTTCACAGGTTCTTTGAGAGAACTCTAATTTGATATTTTAAAATACTTTGATTCAACTTTTTTTATTAATTGAAGCTAGTATTTTAAAAACAATATTAAATCAACTCGATCAATCGGTTGACTTTTGATCTAATTCAATTGATTCTTCAAAACTGTCCACAAGAGAACTGATCAATGATCGAAAAAATCGATCAAAAACTATAAAAAACTGATTGAAAATTGAACTGGTCCCCTTAAAAACTAATTTGAATTATTTAAAAATTTTAAAAATTAATTAAAATAAATAACAACCTAGAATAATTAATATTAACCATGTATTTATCAACAATATATTATTTTATCAAGCATTTATTGATATTTTTTTGAAAAATATAAATATTTTTATATATTTTTTATTTAATTATAATGTATAAATTAAAAATATATTAATTTAACATTAACCAATTTGACTACAGTTGTGAACAGTAACTAATTCAGTTCAACGACCGTTTCCATTTTCCAGACCCAGCGCTGATTTTACGATCGAAATTTCTTCTTTTTAAAACATCAAATCAACCACGCAAATTCAATGCGGGGACTAAATAAATTTCCACCAAATTGTCCACTCGCCTTACGTTACCTTTTGAGTTCGGTTTCTATAGAATAGCTAATATCAGTGAGCAAATGAGCTCTACGCTATGGGGGTCCTCCTTATGAAAATTCGACAAACTCATAGTCAGACGCCAGAGGACATAAAACACCTGAGCTTGACTTCCGAATTCACTTCCTGATAACCCCATTTAATGTAATCTTCGCTTCCGCTTTCAAACGTGTTCCTTATCTTCCAATATCCAAATTTGAGGAACTTCGATAGATTCTGGGTATGGCTTCTTCTCTGAATTCCCTTCTCCACTGTCTTCTAATTCTGCTTTTGTCTTCTGTTAGTGTTCTTGCCCAAACCAGAAGTAGTGGTGTCAACATGGGCGATTCTTTCATAGGAGGAGATGGCAACACCAAGGGGGTGGTTTCACCTTCTAGGAATTTGCCTTTGGATTTCAGCCACTTAAAAATAATAACAGTCTCTTCTTGCTTTCGATCTGGTATGCCCAAATTTCAAACACAACTGACAGAAGCGAGCGAGATATTAGGCAACATCATAGGGATATTTCATTTGTTAAACTGTAAAGATAGCGTTGGAATGCTGTGTCAGTTATGCGATATTATAGGAAGAACAGCGGATATCATGGATGTATGTATATACCTCAGCTCACTGAGATAATTTTCTCCGAGCTTCTACTCCATAGAATTTGTCAACAACCATCGTTGGGTATGCCAATGGAGATAATCCTGCTCCAAGGGGGTCAACAGTTCAGAAGGGCTCAAGCTTGCTTCTCCTGATGGCCAGACTCTATGGACATGGACAAGAGGAACTAGCCCTTCTGGTAACTTGAATGACTTTGGCCTTTATCAAGTTGAGGAAAGACAGTTCCTCCCTAATTGGTCCTCCTGCTCCTCCAATCATCAAACGAGAGAATCAGGACACTTTGATAAGGACAGAAGAAGCTGTGCCTTTCTTAATCTTGCATTCATTGGAGCATTCTGTCTAGGCTTTTCCTCCTTTTACCAATTCCAGATGAAGCTTAAAAGTGTTTACCCAAATGACAGTGCTGTTGAAATTAATTTGCCTTGTTTTACTTATAAGCAGCTTGAAGGGGCTACAAATGGATTCAAGGAAGCCTTAGAAAGAGGAGCTTTTGCTATTGTTTATTTGTAAACAATATTTTTATATAATAAAACTTAATATTTTAATATATTTTTATATATTTGTCAAAAAAAAAACATATTATTTATGTAATTTTCATCATATATCACCAATACAAAACAATATAATTACAAATTATTTTATTTTTAAGCAAATACAAGAAAATGGAGGGTGGGAAATAAAGAAATATTATTTATGAGTTTTTTCCCCCGAAATCTTCTCATTTTTGATCGGATTGTTATATTCATAGTTTTCTCTCTTTCCTGACTTTTTATGCAGTCAATGCAATTTTTCCCTTACTTCTTTTCTGTCTTTCATTTTTTTCTCTACCCATACTTTTTCCCCTCCCATGCATAGGCATAGCGCATATCTTTGATCTTTCTCCTCCCCTTTTTTTTTTGGGATAATACCAAAGAATAAGTCACACCCTTCAAACTTTTGAAGTTTCAATTCTGCAATCCTTGCGGGCCACAAAAAAACTTCAATCCTTAACGACACCCAATCGTGCTTGAAATATCGTATGTTTGATTTCATTTCGTGTCTTGGACAAAAACGACATTTCACGACCCAACTTTGCAACATCATATGGACTTGATTTAATTATCTTGACAATTCGAATCTTTTCATTGTCGCGTAGATGAAAAGCTTCATTGTTCTGGAAATTGCACTAGGCCAGCGAATTTTAAATTATAAATAAATAATTTTTATAATAGCTGATATTCCGCGAGAGCAACGTGTTACTGCACCAATAAAAATAAAAATTATTTATATTTCTTTTTTGCATAACCATTTGATGATCAATGCTATGGGTCTAAATTTGAGAGCTCTAGCACCCAAATAAAGTTAATTACCTTAATGAATTTTAACACAAACAATACATTCACCCATTCACACAAGCTTATTCTTATGTTTTCTTATGATTTATCTTCTTTTCTTTTCTTTGATTTTCTTGTTTGGCCTGAATCTTCTGACTTTTTTTTTTTCCTTTAAAAGTGAATTTGGTCATGAGTACTGCAAAATGTATCTTTTGATTTAAAAGCGTTTATAATGATAGTTATATATATTATTTATTAATAAAATTTTTATATCAATAATAAAATTTGAACAACTCATAGCTTATAAGCCAAATTTTTATAAATAGACTAATCTTTGTTGGCTGAATCTTCTGACTTGATTCGCAGAAACCAGAACATCGTATTGGGCCCCGTAAGCTCATTCCTTTCGTTGCCCAGTACAACACTAACAATGTTTCGATGCCTCATTTGATCAAATATTATTATCAATTTATCTTTATCAGTGAAATAAGTCTACCAAAAAGGGATATGTTCAGTTAATGATTGAAATCGGCGGCGAAAGGACAGTCTCTGATTGAAAATTCAAAGTTCTTCGTTTATGTACCCATTAAACATCAGCGATACCAGGACGAAATAAATATCCACCTAGATCTTCCATCGCCGTACGTTACCTATTGAGCTTCATCAGTGAAAGTGAGCGATGGGCATCATGCTATCCGGGTCCGTCTTTTGAAAATTCAACAAAGTCACAGTTCCAGAACACGAAATCCGTGTTCCCCACGGCTAGGAATACCTGTGCTTGACTTGCGCATAATGGAACCCTCGTTTACGCGTTCCTTATCTATCCGATTTCCGAACGGGAAAATTGATTCTGGGTATGGCTTCGTCCCTGAATGCTCCTCTCCTCTGTTTTCTGATTCTTTTTCTGCCTTCCGTTTGTGTTTTTGCCCAAACCAGAAATAGTAATCTCAGTGTGGGCGATTCTTTCATAGCAGGAAATGGCAACACCCCATGGGTGGTTTCGCCTTCCGGGGATTTTGCCTTTGGGTTTCAGCCACTTAAGAATAGTAACAGCCTCTTCTTGCTCTCGATCTGGTATGCCAACATTCCAAACACAACCATCGTTTGGTATGCCAATGGAGATAATCCTGCTCCAAGGGGGTCGAGAGTTCAGGTTACCGCTTCAGAAGGGCTTAAGCTCACTTCTCCTGATGGTCAGACTCTGTGGACGTCAGAAAATACCCCGTCTGGTCGTGTTGCTTCTGGTGCGTTGAATGACTTTGGCAACTTTGTTCTTCAGGATAGGAGCTCCACCTCTGTCTGGGAGACCTTCAAGGATCCTAAGGACACCATGTTGCCCTCCCAGACTTTGGGAAAGGGAGGAAAGCTTTCTTCTCGAAAGTTAGAGGCTGATTTCGCGCAGGGAAGGTTTCAACTTGTTCTTCAGGATGAGGGTAATCTAGTGATGCATTCTATAAACTTACCATCTGAGTATGCTAATGAAAATTATTTCGATAGTAAAACTGTTGAGTCCGATACATCAAGTCCTGGAACTCAACTGGTCTTCAACAAATCTGGAGACTTTTATGTTTCAAGGGAGAACAATGATACATACACCTTCTCTAACCAGAACATACCCTCCCAGTCTCAATTTTATCTTCGAGTTACTCTCAATTTTGACGGAGTTCTGACTTTCTATCAACATCCTAGGAGGTCCTATGGTAATGAAACTTGGACGCCTATCTGGTCTAAGCCAGATAATATCTGCAGTGCTACGATCAAAGAAGGAGCAGGCATTTGCGGATATAATAGCTTTTGCAGATTGGGTGAAAATAGCAGGCCAAATTGTCAGTGCCCGCCCGGTTATTCCCTTCTAGATCCTGAAGATCCATATGGTAGTTGTAAACCTGATTTCATACAGGGCTGTAAAGAAGATGAGCTTAGTCAGGGGAAAGATCTATATGACTTTAAGGAGTTGATAGATACTGATTGGCCTCTATCTGATTATGCGCTTCTAAAGCCTTTTACAGAAGAAAAGTGCAAACAGGCCTGTTTGGAAGATTGCTTTTGTGCGGTTGCCATTTTTAGATCAGGTGACAGCTGCTGGAAGAAGCGGTGGCCACTTTCTAATGGTCGAGTTGACACGAGTCTTAATTTTGGTAAGGCCTTGATCAAGGTGAGGAAAGACAATTCCTCACTAAGTGGTCCTCCTGGTCCTCCAATCATCAAACGAAAGAATCAGGACACTTTGATATTGGTGGTCTCTGTTCTCTTGGGTAGCTCTGCCATTCTTAATCTCGTATTAACTGGAGCATTCTGTCTGGGCTTTTCCTCCATTTACCAGTTGCGGAAGAAGCTCAAAAGTGTTTACCGAAGTGACAGTGCTGTTGAAACTAATCTGCGCTGTTTTACTTACAAGGAGCTTGAAGAGGCTACAAATGGATTCAAGGAAGAGCTAGGAAGAGGAGCTTTTGGTGTTGTTTATAAAGGAGCCATAGTCATGGGTCCTGCAGTGCCTGTGGCAGTCAAAAGGTTGAACACCTTTCTTTTGCAAGAAACTGAGAAGGAATTCAAGAATGAAGTTAATGTCATTGGTCAGACCCATCACAAGAATTTGGTTCGTTTGCTTGGGTTCTGTGAGGAGGGAAATGAAAGGCTGCTGGTGTACGAGTGCATGAGCAATGGCACATTAGCAAGCCTTCTTTTCAGGGACTCTAGACCCAATTGGAACCTACGCCTAAAAATGGCATTTGGGATTGCAAGAGGACTTGTTTATTTGCATGAAGATTGCGGCACCCAGATCATCCACTGTGACATAAAGCCTCAAAACATTCTCCTTGACGACTACTTTAATGCTCGTATCTCTGACTTTGGACTGTCCAAGCTCCTAAACATGAATCAGAGCCGAACCCATACAGCTATAAGGGGAACAAAAGGGTATGTTGCACTTGAATGGTTCAAGAACATGCCTATCACGGCTAAAGTAGATGTCTATAGTTTTGGTGTATTGCTGCTGGAGATTGTCTGTTGCAGAAGAAACGTGGACATGGAACCAGAGAATGAGGAGAGAGCAATCTTAACAGATTGGGCTTACGACTGCTACACAACAGGTTCTCTAGAAGCTTTGGTTGAGCAAGATCACGAGGCACTGAATGACAAGGAGAACCTGGAGAGGTTAGTAATGGTTGCCATTTGGTGTACCCAAGAAGACCCAACTGTAAGACCCACCATGAGAAAAGTTTCTCAGATGCTTGAAGGAGTTGCTGAAGTGCCTGCTCCACCATGCCAGATCGTAAATAGTGTGACTCGAGATCACTATTACTCACCCACTTTGGAGCATGATTGACAGTGTGGGAATTGGCTGGATCGCTTTATCTCATGATTTTTTTCTATCTTATGTGTGAGTTATAATTTGTCTTTGTTAGTGTGCTGGTGCCTAGTAACCCCATCGATATATCCCTTTAGCTTTAGGAATGGAAATATGATATCAGTTCACTGTTCGTTTGCTTTAGGTAGATACAGTGCATATGTTGTTGGGTATTCCTTCAATTTGCTGATATTGAAGGAAGAGAATAGTATTACTTGTGCTGCCATTTTTATCCACAAAAACATTCAGATGAGGCTTAACTTTTTGAATCTCCTTCTGTTAATATATATATATATATATATATATATGTTTCAGTAGTTAAACTGCCCCGTAATCCATCGTTCCCAGAATTGCTGGGTAAATATGTAAAGAAGTTACAGTTCTAATGGGCGAAAGTAAATGTAACTGTAATTCAACACGTAAATCTCGTTAAAATAAGTGGCTACTTTAACGGGCTTTTTTTTTTTTTTTTTTCGGCGGCGTTGACAAAGTTTTTCACCTGCCTGTCACAAGCTTCACGTCGATGTTCAAAAGCACAAAATTTACATGCAGGTAGTTAAACATTTGACAGTGACAGCAAGCTCTTTAATTAATTGCAACAGTATCACCTGAACCCCCACTTTTTCCTTATTGTAGTATTTCTATAATTAACTCCACAAATGATGAAATGATGTTACAAATTTGATTTTGTTTTTTTATTAGAAGAGGTGACGGTTTCGCGGAGTGTAATGAAAGATGCATGTCGAAGGAGTAGTAATCTGTGGATTTTTCCAAAAGGGTCCCTTTCTTCTCTTTAAATGATGTCGCCAATGGATTGCTTTCAGAACTCGATTATTTTCGGCCACCTCTCGGTTTTCCCGGAAACGGCATAATTTTCTCATATGTATATGGACTGAGCACAGAGAGAGAACTATAATTTTCCTGAATCAATTTTGGGGTGATAAACCGACAATCCCAAATGGAGTTCACGCCAGGAAGCTCAGGTTACATAGAATTGTATCCTGAGAGAAAAGTGTCGTTTTTCAAGAATCCTTACATCCTCTCTCTCACAGCAGTCGCAGGTATAGGTGGTCTCCTCTTCGGCTACGACACGGGTAATGAAGGTTCTTGTCGAAATTCAATATTTCATTTGTTTACTTGATATCTCAGTTTTACTCACTTGAATTGTTCAGAGTGAAAAAAAAAAAATATATATCATGTATTAGCCAAAAATATATATAAATAAATATCATGCGATTTACTTCATTTTGCATGAAAAGATTATAATAGTCTCGGTGTTAGAATTCTGTAATTTTTTATTATGATTTCAGAGTTTTAAAGGGTTGGATCAATGATGATTTAAACATATCTTATTGTTAGTTCTAGTATTACAAGTCCAATTTTCAACTTAGTCAATTGATGAGATTAGAAAGCAAAATTTTCTTCAAACTTGTTATATTGGACTCAGATAACTTCCAAAAAAAAAAAAAAACTCATGCTTCTTTTTATGCTATATGTATTATAGGAGTTATATCAGGAGCACTTCTGTACATTAAAGATGATTTTGAAGAGGTGAATCAGAGTAGCTTCCTACAGGTATGTAAGCTTGTGCTGTTTCCTCTTGATTCTAAATCTAAAGAGCCCAAAATTAAATATACCCCTACCATGCCATATTTCATATATAGTCTTTTAATAGGAAGTAAAGTAATTTGTTAAATAGATGTCTATAAATAGCTTTCATTGTACTCTTGGCTTGTACAAGTGCCACAAGTTTAGCCCTTTAACTGGAAGTAAAGTAAAATTACAGCATGATTTCTCCCTCATTCAGAGATTCTAATAGTTTTGAAACACCAGGAAACAATAGTGAGCATGGCTTTAGTTGGTGCAATTATTGGATCAGCATTAGGTGGTTGGATTAATGATGAATTTGGGCGTAAAAAGGCGACTCTTATTGCTGATATAGTCTTTGCCTTCGGATCAATTGTTATGGCACTGGCTCCTGATCCGTATGTCCTCATATTTGGACGTCTTCTTGTCGGTATAGGCGTGGGCAAAGCTTCTGTTACTGCACCTGTGTATATTGCAGAAGCAGCACCCTCAGAAATAAGAGGCGGACTTGTGAGCATAAATGTGCTAATGATTACTGGAGGACAGTTTCTCTCATACCTCATAAATCTTGTTTTCACACAGGTTGGCTTTTTTTTTTTTTTTTTGCCTTCTTTACAATACTAAATGCGTAAACATTATGTGTCTAGAGGGCAGTCACTTGAAAATAAAATTTTATATTTGGTATCTTTCTGGCTATGTAGTTCCAATCTAATAACCGATGGGGTGGCTGTTGGTTTATCTGGCAATAGAAAATGTTTATAAGTTGCTAAAGATGTATAGATGTTAACAAAATGTCGGCTTCAGCCAGAGGACAACAACTTGAGGAAGCGAAAACTTCCCCACAAGAGGTCCATTTTAAAACCATATTTTGAACAAGCGCTAGATGATGCAAGACTAGGGCATACCTTGGAACTCGGAAGCAACATCTTTGGAATGGATGCTGCAGAGCAGAGTGCCACTTTCTAGTTTCAGTATCCTTATGAAAATGGTAGCATGAGGGTGATAATTTGCATTTTGAACCTTCTCAAATTGTACCTGAGTAGTACACTTCTATCAGGTTTTTTACCAGCCAGAGGTTTCCTCCTTGGATGAACTTACGTACACATTATTAATGAAGCAGGTCCCTGGAACATGGCGATGGATGCTAGGCGTTGCAGGTGTGCCGGCAGTTGTTCAGTTTTTTCTCATGCTCTGCCTACCCGAGTCACCACGGTGGCTGCTTATGCAGGTAAAATTGATCTTCTCATGAGATGAATGTTAAATCAGATACAGCATTATGCTAAGATGTTTTCCTCTGTTCAAAGCTTTCTTACTCGTCTTCATGTGTTTGCAGAATAGGAAAGATGAAGCAGTTTCTGTGCTTTTCAAGATCTATGATGCGGATCGCTTAGAGGACGAAGTGGAATATTGTTGTGCTCAGTTGGAGGAAGAACTTGAGAAGCAAAGCAATGTTAGATACTTGGATGTGTTCAAATCTAAAGAAATTAGACTCGCATTTCTTGCAGGGGCCGGACTTCAGGTTTAAGATTTTTCTTCAAAATACTTTTGTTTCTAAACTAGATTATCCTGGTGTTTAGAATGATCCTTTGTGAATGCCGTGCTCTCTGAGAAGGATAGGAGCAACATATCTTCCAATGAAACCGGAAATGTATGCACATTTGGTCATATGGAGGTCATAGTTGAACATGGATATTAATCTTTCAACAGTTTCACGTAGGTTGTTGCACCATATTCCTCTTTCCCCACCCACCCATCCACTCATTCAAAACAAACCAAATTCAAGAAAACAACCATCTTCTTCCTTGGACATTGAGTCTCTCGATACATGAATGTTTTCAACCAATTATTAAACTTCAATGGAATCTCTGAGCGTTTTCTGTCAGTTTTAAATTCATTTATGGCATGCTGAAGATCTCATATAAAGGAGTCAGCATGTAAAGTTCACATGTAATGCTTCTGTTTTGAAAAACCTGGAAGCTTATCCAGGTTTTTTGTCTGCTTTGATATTCTTATAAATTGACAGCAATGAAAGAACATTACATGTAACCATAGAAGACTCTTTCACAATTTTCCTATGATTCTGCAGGCTTTTCAGCAGTTCACTGGTATTAGCATTGTGATGTACTACAGCCCAACAATCATAGAGAGAGCTGGCTTTCATTCCAAACTATTAGCTCTTCTCCTATCCCTTATTGTCTCCGGCTTGAATGCTGCCGGAACAGTCCTTGGCATTTATCTCATTGACCATGCCGGGCGAAAGAAGCTGGCTCTTACAAGCTTATCTGGCGTGGTTGTATCTCTGGGGATCCTTTCTGCTGGATCTTTCCTAGATTCTTCAGATTCTCATGATGGAAACTATGGATGGCTTGCAGTTTTAGGGCTAGCATTTTACATCGGTTTCTTTGCCCCCGGAATGGGACCGGTCCCATGGACAGTAAACTCAGAGGTATATCCTCAGGAATATCGTGGTTTATGTGGAGGCATGTCAGCCACAGTGAATTGGATTTCAAGTGTGATAATGTCCCAAAGCTTCCTGTCAGTTTCTGATGCTCTAGGGCTTGGTGGGAGCTTCTTGATTCTTGCTGGTGTAGCTGTACTTGCTATTTTGTTTGTGGCCTTGTTTGTGCCAGAGACAAAACAGCTCACACTGGATGAAGTAGAGCAGTTATGGAAGGAAAGGGCCTGGGGAAAGGGTTGCAAAAGAGAGAGCCTTCTTTGAGAAAGGAAAAGGACCAAGATGTTGTGAATTTGTGATCTCTTATCCACTCAGTATCATCTTATGCTGTTGCTACCTTTGCACAATTGTGGAACAAAATTGTACTGTCTTTCTTATATGGTCAATTATTCTACCTAAACAGATTCGGTTTTGGCTTAGAAGCTAAGATCCTCGGGGGGCACAGAAATTACATGAATTGCATGCAAGCTTAGCAATAAGCTAAATACAAGTTTAAATCTACAAAGTGATCTAAATAATTAGTTAAATTATACTATGTCCGATTCTTATTATAAGTTACATTTAACTACCTCATTGAAACTAAAAAAAAAGTGGTTAAGTGACTTTGTCTAAAAGTTGAAAAAATAATTCAGTTTTACTTGTATTTTATATAAAAATTTTATAAATTCGTATTACATTATTTCTCTTGAGTAATACTAAAAAAATTAATAATAAGTGTTTTATAGAAATGATCAAATAGATATTTTGGAAAAATATGATAAGGTAAGAAAATAAAAATGAAATAGAAAAATATTAAAATGTTGTATTTCTTTTACTTGTTAGGAAAAAAACAAAGGGAATAGCATCTGATAAAAAGAACAAGCCACTTCCCTAATATAACTGCAGAAATTTTATGATTTTAAATATGATTAAATATTAATTTTTTTGCACGATTTTGTCATGGTCTTGTAATTGAAGAAAAAAAAAAAAGAACAAGCCACTTATCTACTACAATGTGGATGATGGGACAAAACAAAAATTATACTTGGATACCCTTGCTTCTTAGAGTGATCTACACATTGATTGATTGGCTTTTAAAAGGTTACACCCGAGCAACAATGCGCGGAGACATTAAAAATTAATAAAAAGTTAAATATTTAGCAAATGTTGATTTGATCATTTATAAAAATAATAATATTTAGAAAGAGTAAAATGAAATTATATAAGCAATTATAAAAAATAAATAAA